CGGGCGCGGAGGGGCGCGCAGTTTCCCCCCGCCGGCGCCGTTTCATAGTTTACGGGGGGTTTGCGAGGCGCCCGGGCGATTTCTGGGTAGCTGTGGCAAGTGTATTTACTAAAAATGTGAGGTAGATGAGAGGCCGGTAGCAAGGCTGCGTCCCCCGGACGCCACGCTTTCCTCCTGATTGGCAGCAGGGCCCGGGGAGAGTCATTCAAACCCAGCCAAAGTTTGTTCTCCTTCCAAAAGCCGGAGAAGGGGTCGGCGGGTGCGTGCTCCGGCCGGAGGTCGCTTGTTGACAGTGCCCGGCTTATTTTCCTCCGTTTTGTCTTGAGGACCCGTTCGGTTTTGCAGGATGTGTAAAGGGCTTCCACGTCCTCTCTGGAGATCAGGGTGCATTTGGCGGCGTGGAAAGCGATGGAGTTGATGGCTTTGAGTTTCCTCAACTCCTCCAGGTCGCAGTGATGCTTTTTTACTTTTAAATGATCCATTCGCTTGTGCACGGTAGTTCTCGGGATGTTTTTGAGCAGGTCTGTAAAAACCTGGGAGAGTGCAAACATTTGCTTTCCTTTAATGATGAGGTAGCCGAGCCTCACGCCATCCACCTCTTCAAAACCCGACTTCAGGTCTCCCATTTCGTGAATTAAATTATTCCCAGCATTTGCAGAGAGAGAGAGAGAGGAAAAAAAAAAAGAAAAAAAAAAAAAGAAAAAGCCACACACACACAATCCTCAGCCAGATGCTGTATTTGTCTCAAGGCATCCTGCTAATAAAATATAACAAAGGCTGTTATTCCTGGTGAATGGAGTGCCAAACTTTAGACAAAATAAAAAAATAAATTAAAAAAAATACCATGAAGCTACAATCAATATATATCTTAAAAATCAGGTTTGCCAAAGTGTTTCTCTAAGTTGCTGCTGAAGATCAGTACCTGTTCCCTTTCATTCCCTGCTTTTCCATTGGAAACTATGATAATGGAATGTGAAGGGAGGAAGAGAAAAGAAATGCAGCTGCTATTCCCGCCGCTGCTTTAGCTACAAATAAAATGACAGAGTGAAGTGAGCTCGTCCGGAGACACCTTCATCAATTAATTCCCCTAAAGCCAACGCTGATTGGACACTCCTGACAGGTGATGCAATAAAAATTGATATTCCACCCCTTCCCCCCAAAAAATCTCCCACTAATTAGCATACCCTTATACTGCCACCTCCCCTCCCAAAGTAAATAATACAGTTAGTATATAAATCTTTCTATTAAACAATCTGAGCTCAAATACACTCAGACCTCTCAGACTTCCTCATCGCTAGCTTCAGATGAAGGATTTTAATGCTTTTTTAAAATATCTTTTTGTATATTTTTTAGACTATTTTGGACAAATGTTGCTCTTTTGTCATGCCGTGAATTTAAAGGACATAAATATGATCGTAACGGTGGAAAATTCTTCGGTAATGTAACCGCTTTCAACTAGTACTTTATTCTGCATTGTGTGGAAAATGAAGGTTAGCGAAAATGTGCAGAATAGCCTGGTATTTCCCTTTCAGAGGCTCCAAAGTTAAATGCTCGGTTGTTAACGAGAGAGAATACTTACATTTTCGAGTTTCTCTTGATTTTCCTCTTCTGTTTAATTAGCTTTTTATAGCCGGTGACTAAGGTTATTTTGCTGCCTGGATATCACGGGTTCCTGCACCGCGATACTGTAACACTTTTAACTGAAATTCTGTCTGTAATATTGCGGGAGGGGGGAGGAGAACGTGGGCTCACGTCAGACCCATAACAAAGCATAGATAAGGCAGAAATGTATACACTTTTCACAATTAACCGTGCTGGATCGCAAGCTGGAATGTCCTATAGTCCCAGAGCCCACGTCAGGATTCCTGCGTGCTGATTGCTTCCAGCAGAGAAAGGAGAATGTAAAATATCCAAGGTGCTTCCAAGAGGCTTTACGTAATAACAAAAAAGTGCTGGCACACACGATGTACAATATTGCAAGGGTCTAGGATGCTTCTGGTTTGCAGTTTGCATATTCAGCTTGGAGCAGACCTTCCGTAGCTTTCTGCTGTTCCATTTATATCAGCCCCTTAAAATCAATTTGAAGAAGCGGCATGAAGGTTTAACCTCTTCTTAGAAACATTAAATTATCTGAGTGTCAGGAAAGATGATTTCGAAAATGTTGCAATAGCTGCATACCTCTTCCTTGTCACATTAAAATGATGCTTGCGGTTTGCACGTTGGGCGCTGCAAAAAAAAAAAATCACCAATCGCTGTCGTACATCCAGTGTTCAACTGGATACAAACATGAGCACTTAAAGGTATCACTGCACATCCAGAATTAGACATATCCGTGAGATTAATGAGACATCTCGTATTTCTGGGACTTAGCAAAAATGGAAAGAAAAAAAAATCTTCAGTCCCAGATGTCAATATCCACTCCATGTATTGGCAATATGGTGCGTGGAGTTCGTATTACCCCGTCAGGTACAGCTAAAATAAATAACATAATCACTCCTTAAAAATGCAGTTTTGCATGCCAAGGCGAAATGCATGCAAGCCCCCAATTTCGCAGGAATTCTAGAGAGAAGGGGAAATTTCAAGAAGTGCATCCGGAAATTGAGGAAGTCTATTCAAGGGAGCCTCTAACTCGCAGGGCTGAGATTTGAAAAGTCAGCCCTAGCCTACTGTTGCTCTCAGCGCAGATGTAATCGCCGCTGCTCAACTTAATCCATGTGTGTACGAACCACGATGCCTACTTCTCCCCTTTGAAACCTAAGGCGAGGGCTGCCATCCGAGCAAGCGGAGCTAGAGCAAGTTACATTTGTTGTCCCTCGCTTTAGCAAAAGGCTCTCGTGCTACTGCAGCCTCTCGCCGCGCCCATTTGTCTCTCTCGCTTGCGGAGGAGACATCGTGTCATACGCTGGAGCCGAAAGCAAAGTTGCGAGAGAAAACAGCTGCTCACGCTAAAAAGAAATCATCGTGGTCTTTCTAGAGCTAGAGACAATAAGGTCGTTTAAAAATTCCTCCTGATGCACTTATATGCTGCCAACACCCCCACCCCCTCCCCGCTGCTCTCCTCCCCCTGCTTTAAGGTTAAGGCTATGGAGTCAACAGTAAAGGAACAGTAAACTCGGAGAAAGCTTTCAAGGAGATGTTCCCCAAAAAACCCCGATGGGCTGAAAAGTCATTTATTTGCCAGGTAGTTGGGTTGGTTTTGATTGCTGTTTAAATACAAGCGTACGTTCACACGCGGGGACACACGCGCACACACAGGCACGCACGCACACGCACACTCACCGCCGATGACAGTCTGGCAGTGGGATCCAGTAACTATTTAAAAAATGCATGATTTTTGTTTGTTTAATTCTGGCGCTATCAAACGTCTTAAACTAGTAGCGGCTATCTGCCAAACCTCTATTTTCAGAAAGGTACAGCCATTAGCTTCTGGGTCTAGCCAGAGCCAAATTTTGAAAAGGAGAAAACCACCAGAAGTCTGAGGAAATGTCACACACACAACGTATACATACGCACCATATACTCACACACACACGCACGCACTTTCAGTCGCATGTCTCTCCCCACATCTCACACGGAGACCTCCGTTTCTTTACTTCTCCTTTTTTTTTTTATTTTTTTTTTTAATGTGTGTGCAAACTGAAACAGGCAGCTTTCTTGGGGCCATCAGCGCACGTTGTATATCCGGGGTCGTCTTCAAGCCCGCCGGGGGGAGATCCTGATAAAGGGAGCCCAAGGAGGCCCCTTGCACACGCACACGCACATTAAAGGCAGGGGACTTTAAAATGGATTTGCACGCACACAGGGGATTGCGATCAATAGCTACCAACGTTTACGGCTTAGATTGTTAATGTGAAAGCTGGCCAAAAGAATTAAAATGAAAAATTAAAGGTGTCTGGTATCAATTCCAAGAAAAGTTATGCAATAATTTACTGACTCGGAGTCTGCGTGTATGCCTCTGTGTTTGTGTGTCTGTGTGTATGTCGTGCATGTGTGCACAGATCCAGATGTATATGTAGCTATCTCTCGAAAGCAAGGGAGTTTCTTTGTTAATTTTGTGGACTGTGTCACCCTCACTCGTGATCAAAGATGAACATGATTAAAGGGATGGATGTTTGTCTCACATTTCTTAAGATAAGAACGCCCGGAGATACTCGTTTTTGCCAAACACACATACATGCAACTATAGAGACTTGTGTGTATAGGCACACACACACACGCACACACCCCCCCAACACACCCACACCCACACTATCAATCAAATGCGCTCCTTTTCACGTTGAGTAGCGTGCAATCTGCAATCTACACTCTATAGTAAGTAGCATTTCAGTTTTGAAGCTGTTTGGCCGAAGGATAAACCTCATTAGAAGAGAAATAGCAAGATAATATTAATAATACCTCGCTGTAGTCCTATTCCCATTTATTACAAATCGTATACTTTCATTTTTGTAAACTTGTGTTAAAATATATATGCTGGCAGGGAAGCGTTTAACCACACCGTTCCAGAAAGAAAATGTATGAAACATTTAAAATGCCCCTTTTACGTGATGTTTTGATTTATTTTCATAGTATGATTGTGTTTAAATACCAGTGCAATTCAGCCTGACCTCTTCCTTCTGCAATGAAGTAATGCACACACCATTTACAGTCTTTTAAACGTTTAGTTGGGAAATGCAACAGCGATGTCCACCAGCAGTTGTACTAACGGGGAGAATTCTTTTGAAAATCTTCAGGAAAACCTAAGAGGTCATGTGCATTTTCACACTAGGATTGCCACATTATTAGAGTATTATTATTATTTATTATTATTTGTTAAGTGCTGGACCATGCCTTCAGGTATTGACAAGCATTAAATAAACCTTTTCCTTTTCATGACTCTGGGTAGAAATATATATTTCAATTGAGAGCTTGTTTTCTACCCCTATGCCGTGCTTTTAAATATTGCTGTGCATATTTCGCTCAAAGAAGATACAGACAGAAAGCAGTTAGAGGCTATCACAAAGAGTCCAGTAACGTAAATATAATAGGGTCAAAGAACAGTATAATCGGATCCTTCTGCTATTTTAAAGTCAGCCAAATGTGACTATGGCACTTACTATTTCCCGTAAATTCTAGTATGACAACAAATAAGAACGTATAACTAAATCTCCTAAACGTGTAGGACAAAGAAATGCCAACCGCCACTCTGAAGAAAAAATCGTAACGTGGCTAACACAGCTACGCCTAGGAGTTTTATTTTTTTGTAAACAAAGCAGCAACGTAGAGTTCCGCTAAGTGTTTTTTTTTAAGTTTTATTTTTTCCGTGGGGTCTGGGGTGTCACTTGCACGTTAGAATTTTGTGCAATTTATAATCATCACGGGCTAACACTATTTCTAGAGTTTGATACTCCTGGTGGTTTTAAAATAGTTTTTAGCAGGAGTTTCTGGACACATACTACATGCCATGTTGTTTACTGACCCATAATCAAAATGCAGTGACCTTCTACCCTTTTTTTGCCCCTTGACCCATGCTGAATTCAATGCAGCCTTTATAAATTTGCAAATCCTTGGACGTAAAGGGGATTTGGTGAGGCTTTGTTCTGAAAGGATCCTAAAAGTTTGCATTTTTAATTAGACAAAGGTAAAGCAACAAACACTGGGAAATAAGATCCTTTCCTGCACATAGGTGATCAGTCTTAATTTCTACACTCGGGAACTACATCCCCAAAAACATATCCTCCAAACTGAAAAGCAGTTGCAAACATAGGAGATCAGAAGGTTATGAATTGCACCAAATTAGCAATGTGGTACAAATCACTCTCATGACGTAAGGGATGGCCAGGCCACAATCTTCCGGCGCTCCTCATCTCCAAGGACTTTGTGGATCCTGGTGACCCGGGGAGAGGGGAGAGCCAGCGATTTGATCTGGAGCTACAGGCACATTCCCTTATCTCCTTTGCTATCAGTCAGTTTAAAGGACACCGTAATTATGATGGTGATAAAACAATGCCAGCTTATGTGTGCTGAATAAATAAAGAATGTTTACAGCCCTAGAATGTTTCAATTCCAATTAAATGCTATCAAAGAAAAGCCCCTCTCCCTCCCTCCTTCCCTCTCCCCCCACGAGTCCCTATTTACCTTGCTGGTTGTAATATGTTCCTATGAAATAAAACGGCTTCCCAGTCTGCTATTAAGGCCACACTGGGGGGAGGGGAAGGTGGGGGGAGAGAAAGACAGAAAGAGAGAGATTAGACAACACGCACTCCCAGTTCCACGATTACTTGGGTCGCCAGCATCCTCTTTTCTTATTTGTTTATTTTTCAATTGGCAAATGCGTGATGATGCAGGGGTAAAAGGCACTTAGGGATGCAGCTCCAACCACTGGACAAGGGAGTTGGGCTGAATTAATGTGGCGCCCTTGGGCGCTGTAGGAGGGGACTGGATCCCACGGTTCCGACCCGCTGGGGCCCCGGAGAGCTGGGTCTGGGAGCCTAGGAAACAGGAGCCTGAAAATTCATCCCATTTACTAAGACACAAGGATCATTTCAAATATTCATTGTATCAGCAAATCTCATCATAATCAGATTAAAGCAAGGTTTGGGGGAGTATTGCCTGTGTGGCTGGGTTCTAAACACTGATTGGACTACAAAGAAATCAGAAAATGGGTTCTTCTCGCGTGCCTAAGTCGCACAGGAAAAAAAAAGGAAAAAAGAAAAGCAGTATTTTTGCAAGAAAGGGACACTTTAAAAAGCTGTGATTCTGCATTCCATCCTGGATAGTACATTCCTCTCAGAGGTGGTTTCCCTTTAAACTTTACGCTTAATATTTCTATGTGATGCTCTTACTTGTTTGTCTTAAACTCCAGATAGAAACGATTCCCGCTGCGGAATATACTGATGCAGATTTATACTTCATGCTAGTTTATTTTTAGCTTTCATCTAAGGGAACAGCTTTTCTACATTTAAGCTTTAAAATGTGTATTTCATTGAGCCGTCTGGGGCAAAACGTTTATATTAATTTTGTCAAAGTGAGCGAAGAGCTGAGTGTATTTTCAGGTTTGCTGGATAGACGCTGGCCCTTTTCCTTTTGAAAGTTTAGACCTCCAATACCCTCAATTCTACTGGCAGAATTAGGATGGACTTGGAGGGTCCTAAACGTGACCATTCACTAAGGCGGGGGGCTACAGCTTGCAACAACGTGCTCAGCAACTTAATCTTACACTAAAAAGAACAGAGAGCGAAAAAGAATGGAACACAAACTCCCCTGACATTTGTAGTTACTTCCAAGGTGGACTGTGTATTTTAAAGCTGATGGGAACGTGTGGGTTTTGGAGCAAAAAGGAGAGAAGGTAAGTGTTTGTCCTTGTATCCGCCAGTTCGTGGAGAAACAATGAAAGAACAAAGGGAACCACTTCTCCATTTGAACATTTTACATTTTCTTCCTCCATTTGAATCTTATTGTGAAGGGCTAGCGGGTGGGCTCGCTTAACTTTACCTCTAGAAGCTGTGCAGCGGAGCTGGGGTGCAAGAAACGATCAGAAAGTTGCAGAGCGATTTAAATAAAAATATGTTTACTGTTGAAGACTGCCACAGCAGCAGAGCCTGCAGCAGCTGGCAGGCAAAAGTTGCTGATTTCATGGCTCTGAACTCACCGGTTAGTCCCCTCAAAAAGCGAGCAGCGGGCAGGGGTTAGCGGTGCGAGCGGGAGCGGGGCCGTCCCCGGCGCCTCAGTGGTCCCCAAGTCAGCACTAT